GCAAGTACACGATGGTGAGGAAGCCACAAGGGGCCTGATCCTTCTTGTGGTGGCACAGTCCCAGGCACTTCCCCACTGCCTGCCCCAAGGTATGCGCGCACCCCCTGCTGGCAATGAGCTGGGCCAGGGCTCTGCGGGTCCCGGTGCAGGTGCTTGTGGCCTCCTTGCTGTGAGCAGCCTGTGCTGTGTGGCCTGCCCCGAGCCTGGGCTGGCTGTGGCAGATGGCCAGGAGGCTGCAGGCAGCTGCACCAGGGTCTACCAAGCCCTGGACTGGCTCATTGCTCAGATGCACATGTACCTCAGCAGATGGTGGGGAAGGGGCTGGTGCTGTGGACAGGCCCTTCACAGTTCCCCTGCTTCCCCACCATGCTAGGTACTACTGCCCTGTCCCCCTCCCCTCCTTGCTTCTTCCTCCCTCCTTCCTTTTTTCTCTCCCTCCTGCCTGCTGTCTTCAGGGGCACCACGCTGCTTCCCTTCCTCCCCTTCCCTGCCAGACTGCTCCCCACCCCACACTAAACGAAAACTGGTAAGGTATTGCCAGTTATCAATATGTGAACAGTTAAATGTTTAAACATTTATCACTTCACATCCGTAACTAGGGCTGCACATTTTACAGAAATTGCTGGAACTGAATCAATGTTAGTAACAGTAGGACAGCTTTTGAACAAATTTATTCAGCAGAGACAAAAATCCAATGTGAGATACACGGCAACATTTATGTTTGCTTCTAGTAGAGTACTGTGTGCGTGCGTGCGTGCGTGCGTGCGTGCGTGTGTGTGTGTAGAACCAAATTCCCTGTTGATAAAAATAGGCAGAACTCTGTTGAAGTGAATGGAGCCAATAACATGTACATCAGCAGGCCATTTGGCTGTGATGCATAAAATATCCCAGTAGGCTGTACTTGCCTGTAGTTAACATCTTAATTATGTACGATGAAGTGACACATGCAGGGCTCTCAATTGTAGAAGACACAGGGAATATAGCTGCAGCTATATAAATAGGTAGAAGGAGAGAAGAGAAGTTTATCTGTACAGGCTGCTAAGGGAGCAATACCAATGCTGACTCCCAAACACCATTATCCAGTGCTTCAGAAGGAAGGCTTTGTGCCAAGGTGCTACTAAATGGTAAAAGAATAGGTGTCAAATAAGACGCAAAAAATTCATTTGAACTTTTATGCACCCTGCAAGTTTTCCAACAAAGTATGTAAAACACTTTTGAAAGCAAAAAAATCATTAGCACTCATTGGGTGTAAATAGAAATATATCATTGAAGCATACTGATGCATTTTAAGGTTACTGTAGCAATAGTATTTTTCTTTGTGATAGCATTTTGTCCGTACTTTCTCAGTAACATTAAGTGCTACATTTAATTATCTTGTTTAGAAACATTTTTGTCTTTTGTTGAATATGACTAAAGTGACTTCTTGGTGACAAAGCTGAAGTGTCATTGTAAATTAGAATTTTTTTTAAAAAAGGTTTCAGCAGTAGCACAGAATTTGTAGTACTGAATCTGAGACTGACTAACCTGTTCTGGTTATGTGCTAACTTCAAGATCTTAAGACTCCAGGGACCAGTCTAATTTATAGTTGGGAAGTTTCTTTTGGGATCTTGATCTCCACCCAGAAAATTTGGTTGCTTCCCTTAGCAGGCTCTAACTATGGTCAGTACTGAAGATAGATAGAAAAATAAGTGCATAGAAGAAGATTGCATATGTATAGTTAGAAGAGATAACATTGACTTGTAAAACCCCATTTCTGCTTCATATTCTTGTGCATACAAAGTTGGTTAACATCTACAGTTACTAGAACTGAAAGAAGTTAGCAAAAATAAACTGTGTATGTTCACTGTTTGCTTGCAGCATTTGGCAATGTTTTGTGTGTAGCTTGTTTTACTGTGCTTGTGCATATACAGTTACACAAGAAACTTTTACCCATATAATGAGCAAGAGGAGAACAGAACAGAAAAATCTCTCATCTGTTTTTAAGCAAAAAATGTCTTGGGGCATTCTCTTTAGATGATGATCTATCAGAAATTGAAGGGATTTAAAAAAATTAGCCAGTTTAAGAAAAACAAGGCAAGTTGACAGAGCCTTTTTTCTCTCCTGTACTTGTATTTTTAAACTTTTGGTGCTTGTTTTTTCCCCCCCCCCGCACACGGAGACCTGAGGTGTGCACATTTTTTACACATGTGCATGTTAATTTTTCATGCAATCATTTACTGCTGATATACTGGGAGGGACTGAGGTGTCTGCTAAAATCAGGGAATTTATACGAGTATATGTACTAAATACAGGTCTGATTTGTCTCCCAGATGTGCACCCAAAGATGAACAAGTAGAGCTGTTTAAAAATCAGTTCTTGAATCTTAATTTTTTTAGCTGACCAGAAGACATGGCAACTCAATCATCTATGTAATATTTATAGTCAAATAGCACTTTGAATCCTCAGCCACTGTAAAAATAAATAGTAAATGATAATCTGTGCCCCAAAGAGTTTACAGTCTAGAAGACGAGATGAAACAGGTGGATAAGTGGGTCTATGGGGAGGTAACTAATAATAGGATGTTTTAGCGCAGGCTAGCTGTGGGCACAAGTCTTAGCCAACTGATTGCAGTTACTTGGTTACTATCAAAGTGATTCACTCTTTTAAAAAGAGATTGATCTACATACTTCTGTAATGTGGATCAGTAATATTGAAGAAGTCACAGAGAATTCAGAAATATTTTATTCAGCAATCATGTATAAATTAGCCAAATTGTAAAGTAACAGAAAAGATGATCTCACTACTCCAGCAGGCTGGTTACCTCCCACCATACTAGGAATGTGGCTAAACAGTTGTCTTGAACATGTACCTGGTTAATGGATCCCACACAAGGCTTTAGTTGTTTTCAACAACACGCTTCCCAATACATCCACGTGCCCCACTGTGTTTGTGAGTCATCCTCCAAGCTGCCTAAGCATTTGTACCAGTTACCTCTGGGAAGCTGTGGGGAACTGTCTCCATCTGCATTATTGGGGGCAGAGTGGTTGGAAGACATATGGTAGGCTTGCCCAACATGCAGCCCACCAAGCCATTTTCTGTGGCCCGCGGTGCTGCAATGGGAACCTCTTGTCCCTCCCCCAGCCCCTCAGCAGCTTCCTAATGGCTGCTGAAGGGCTGAGGAAGGGACAAGGCTCCCGCACGCACCGCGTCAGCTTCATGTTGCCGACAAGGTGCTGTTCTCCCCCTCCCCCCTTATTTCACTGTGTCCCTTCCTTGCTCCACCCATCCCTTCCTCATTTGCATGCCAGCTCCTCCCCTCTCCCACATTGCATGGTTTCCATTCCTAGCCCTGCCCCTCCCTTCCTCATTTGCATGCCAGCTCCTCCCCTCTCCCACATTGCATGGTTTCCATTCCTAGCCCTGCCCCTCCCTTCCTCATTTGCATGCCGGCCCCGCCCTGCGTGGGTCCCCACCGGCCATGTAGGCTGGAGCAGGTCACAGTGCAGTGGGCAGGCGGGCACAGATGCCAGCACGGAGGGATGCTCCTGCCGGCTCACTGGGTGATAAAAAGTTCATAATCCGGCCCCACATTCAAAAAGGTTGGATACCCCTGACATAAGGAAAGCATCACACGGGCAATGCACCCTGGGATATTGTAATGTCCAGGCAGCTAGGTTGCATGAGTACAAAGTACACAGATGTGCTTAGTGGATTCTCTCTACACAACAACATTACTGTAGAACCAGTAACAGGAAGAAAACTGTCAGCCTAGGCCACTAAACAGTTGGGGATGGTGCTGCTTTGAACAGGGGGTTGGACTAGATGACCTCCTGAGGTCCCTTCCAACCCCTAACTTTCTATGATTCTGTGACAATGGCTAGTATGAGTGAAGTGTCTGCATCCCTTCACTGTTCATTTCCAGACTTCCGTTATTTTGAGGGAGGCAGAGTTAGTAAAATAATTAGCCAGAGGAAATGATCATTTTTTTGGAACTCCACTGATACTCACTTTCAACCATAGCTACTTGCTAAATCAAAAAAGTCAGTATAACTATGGATGTACTCTCTGGCAATGTTCCGGTTGCTAGGGAAACTATAACTGAATTTTCTAACTTTCAGTTCAACCATAGTGTCGAATAGCATTGGTCTTGTTTCATGTACTGAATAAACGATTCTAATATTTGTGAGTTTTAATTAAGATGGGAACCAACTTTAAGCAGGCTGGTTGGCTTTGCTTTGGTAGCATCAGGGAGAGAGCATGAGGAAGGAGTCTTTCCCACTCTTTATGCCCCCTAGCTCACAACTCTAATCCCCAGCACAGAGACCCTGAGGCTAGCAATACCGGAGGGCCTTATGCTTTCCAGTGTCTCCCAGCAGAATAGGTTTGCAGAGATGGAGGCAAAGAACAACTTAGCAGAGTGTAGCAGCAAGGACACCCCTGCAGCACACCCCTAGAAGCAGTGTGACTATTTTACAGCAAGCATAATGTTTATGGTATTTGTTTGCTGGCATTTTACAATGCTAAAGGAGGGCTCAGCTACCATTCTCAGCTGAGCTCCACATGGGACCATTCTCTCAGTAGTAGTACTATGAATTACCCTAGTCTGCCTCACCCATTTTGCTTTGCACAGACTGGATGACTTTGGAATTAGGACATCTCTGCTTTATTTCCTCTCTGCATGCAAAGGCAAATTCAGTTCCACCCCCATGCCCCACCCTTCCCAAGTTTAACTCTTCACATATACTTTATTGTACAGATAAGAGTGTAACAACAGGAATTAACACTGCCAGGGTTTTCTACTTGCATTCACATATACATTTGTTTCCCGTGTGTGGCATATGATTTAATAGCTGCATTAACTAATACAGTGTACTTCTAAAACAGCTAAATAAACTAAGGTTGCTTAAACAAGCTTGCCTATTCATGAGATAGCTCAGCACAGACCTTGAATATAATTGTGACAATAAACAAATTATGAGTGACAGTTCAATATTGTAGATAACAAAATCTTTCTTCCTTAGGAAGACTATGATCGTCTGAGACCTTTATCTTATCCTATGACCGATGTCTTCCTTATCTGCTTCTCAGTAGTAAATCCTGCCTCATTTCAAAATGTGAAGGAGGAGTGGGTACCAGAGCTAAAGGAGTATGCACCTAATGTACCCTTTTTATTAGTTGGAACTCAGGTATGTCTGGTTTTATTTTGTTTTATTTAAGTGACCCAATTCACTTAATGGCACCCTTTGGGACCAATTGCCCTATGTCAGGATCCAAATAAGTCTTCCTTTGGACTTTGCTTCGGGAATGTTACTGACACGCAGTAACAGGAAAGTAGGTTTGTTATGTTCTGAGTACTCCGCTAAGTTGACTTTGTTCTGCGAAAAAGAAAATGCATTGTGTTCCTCAAGCGAGTGGGGCTCTTGAGCAGGTGCCTACACTTGCATGCATTATTATTGTCACTGGGAGCATTGACACAAAATGTTTACTGTAGAACTGCCTAATTAGCTCCGCAGTAAAACATTACCATCTACATGTGCAGTGTTATTAGGAATGAGTAACCTAATTAACTCTGCCATGGGATAGTACTTGTGAATACAAGTACTATCCTGCAACAACACGTGTGTAGAGACTGAGGGGGCTGGCTGGCGTATAAGGGTGCTTCAGTGTGGGGACTGACTGCCTGCCAGCTAGCCCTGCACTGGAGCACCCTTATGCCCCAGCCAGCCCCTCTGCAGCACACTGAGCTGGGTCAGAGCAACCCTGGGCTGTCAGGCTGACACCCCAGGTCTTCTGTCTGTCGGGGCTGCTCCAACCTGGCTCAATGTGCTGTGGTCCTAGGTGCACATTCAAACAGCGTGCCTGGGAGCAATAAACTCTGAAACAATATGCATGTGTAAACATGCTGGCTGATATCAACAGGACTACTACTGTGAGTAAAACTACTCCTTATCAGTAAGCACTTTAGAGTTGTACTGCAGAAGAGCACTGCACATTTCTGACACAGCTTTATTGAACAGCTAACAATCATGTTCAGTGCTTAATGAAGTTAATGAAAGAACTTGTACTGACCTGATTGGGCACTGAATTAGGCTATGAACAGAACTGGCTTAGTCTTGTGTGTACTAAATTGATCCCACTTCTGGGCTAGGGACAGATTACACACAAACCAGTATAAGTGATTGGAAACTGGTTTAAACCTGTAACAGAACAGAAGTTCAGTGCACATAAACTACTTTCAAAATGGCTGAAACCTGTTTAAGATAAGCCTGGATGGATGCAGTATCAGACTTAGCTTATTTAGGTTAAGCCAGTCTATCGAACTTTTGTCCCAGATTCCCTCCTGACTCAAATTAACTCAGTCCCCCAGCATCCCAGGATGCTTTGCACCTCCCCCACAAGCTCCACTTCACAGGGTAAGCGGATGAATTGTGGGCTGGAATTAAATAACTTGCCTACCTTCTTCCAGTTTCTCATTATTCAGGAAGTTAGGGGCCTGACCGTAAGTTTCAAAGGGCTTTTGGATCACACTGTAGGAAAAACATTCAGGGTTTGGGTTATAACATGACTTCTGTTTTAATAAAATCAAAATAAACGAGGGTCTTCTGCTTACTGACTGATGGTATGTGAGCCCACTGATTTTCATTTTAAAATAATGTAATTATGCCATATTACCACAATCTTTCCTACTAGATTGATCTTCGTGATGATCCAAAAACTATAGCAAGATTGAATGATATGAAAGAGAAGCCTGTATCTCTGGAGCAAGGACAGAAGTTAGCAAAAGAGGTAAGCCAGACACTCTTGAAATATATATTTTTTAAAAATCACATTCCTAATCATTTTACTCTAGATTGCATTTTTCTTCCTCCTTATTTGGTAATTCTGCTGTCTAAACAGATGGCTTTTTCTAAAGTCAGTGTTAAATATGGCTAACAAGTGGGCATGCTTAAAAGTATTTTCCTGTTAATAACAGTGTAAATCCCTTTAGTATGAAAGTCAATAAAAGCTATACCAACATGAGTCACAGATAATTAAAACGTTAAAAGTGCCTTTAAGCAATTAATCATTACAAAGTGCTCTATGGCTTCTTTTTTTTAATATCAGGTGGATGCTGTGTCCCCATGGCACTTCTATTTATAGTTCATTTCTGTTTTCAGAAATTAATCTATAAATTGGCCATGCAGTTCTTCTTGCCAGTTATGTTGCTTATCTGAAGTACTTGAAGACCCTTAAAAAAGTTGCTTTTACTGTGCTTCTTTCAGAAGCAGAATTGAATTAAATGAATTCCAAAAGTGTTTTCCAAAGAAAAAAGAAAGGAATAATTTGCTTACAGAAAGGAGAGTATATTGGGATGATTTTCTAAGTCAAAGACAAGACTTGGGGTGCTTCTATTGAAACAAAAATCTAAAGGACTAATGGAGCAGAATTAACAGACCTGAATATCTGAATGATGGAGCTATTAAACATATTTATTTTTCTTGACAGATAGGAGCCTGCTGCTATGTGGAGTGTTCAGCTTTAACACAGAAAGGACTGAAGAGTGTTTTTGATGAGGCTATTATAGCCATTTTAACTCCAAAGAAACACACAGTGAAAAAAAGAATAGGATCACGATGCATAAACTGCTGTTTGATCACGTGAGATACAGCTGACAATGGCCAGGTCTACTGTGAAATTCTATCAGAAGCTCAAATAATACAGCGCATAAGTACACGTAGAACTTGTTACAGGTCATAGAACAGTTTGAAAGCTAAAATTAGGAATCTGGCTCCTGAAATCGGTGAGATAATTCAGAAGAATAAAAACAAAACAAAACAAAATCAACAAAAATCTAGTAAGAAGCAGCCACCATCTGTTACAAATATTTTATTCAGACTGGAAGGTACAGTCTCTCAGGGGTTATATAGTTTAGAGTAAGCAACAACTGCATCATGTTGCAACAGCATATAAACAATGCCATAAGTAGAGATGCTTGGCCCAAAACACTTCAAAAGGATTTGGATATTCTTCTGCTTTGATCATGTGAAAACTTCTGCACAGTCTGTATGGAATCTGCACAAAGAAATACCTTCTCTCTCTCTTTGCTCCAGTTATCTGCTTTTGTATGTAAGCTGCTTCCGGTTCCAGTATATCCACAGAGGTGCAATAATGAGACCAGCCACATAGCCAAAGGTAGCTCCGAGGGAACATGAAATGGGCCATACCTGAGGGGAAACATATGGTAAAAAACAGGAAAAAAAAAAAGGAAATGGTGGTGTTGTTTTATGTACTTCATGAGCACAAGTTTTCGGCGTAATCAAAATATTGTAAGGCGGTACAACCTCCTTCTATTTTAAAGCTTGACATGCTTTCCTAAAGAATGCCAAACGTGTAACAAAATCATATGTGCATTTATCATGAACACTAAATGTTGTACAGTTTTTAATTATTATGCATTAAAATGTAACCAGGCTTCTGGCTATTGCAGATTTAGTTTGAGATTTGACAAAACTGTGTGAGAAACTTGTTAAGTATTTATATTTACATTATGTTTCAGTCCAGATTTATTGGAAAAAAATTATATTCTCCCATCTTGCTGCACACCTGTTGAGCCTTTCTGAAAAAGAAAACTACACATTTTACCCTGCATATCTGTAAATTCTGCATCCCTTTTCCCAATGGAACATTTGTGCTGTCGGAGAAGTATGAATACCATAAATGAATGAACACCAAATGAGAGCCTATATCAAGACAGAAATGGGGGTTTGCTTGATTGCACACTCAGGCATGTTCGTCAGTTTAGGAACAGAAATAAATTCCCCTTTGCTTAGCAGTAGGAAGAAATGTGGAAGTCTGGAAACAGGCTAAACATTTTATGTGCAGTTTAGCAATTAAAAAGTAGATCTTGTTAACTGTAGCCCTCAATAGGGTAGTTTGCTTAGGAATGCAATTCATTTCCTAATACAAGGACAGCAAACTATCTCACAATAGTCAACACATACTCTCACTGTTCTTATTTGAACATGAGGGAGGAATCAAAAACCATTTTAAATAGAAGACCTTATCTGCCTTAGGATGTGATAGGTAGAACATTATTCCCACTTAGCTACATCTGCTACTGTAGCTTATGGTCCAGCTTACTGGTCCTTACTGCACTGGTGAGGACCTTATTGGAGGGTAAATTTAATTCCTATTGCTCTTCTAAAGAGTCTTTCCCTCATCTTTGCACAGGAGAACCTCACTGTGCCTGCTGTTCAATATTCTCCTTTGGAACTAAGTGTAAATTGGCTTGCAATTCATGAGCAGCAAAAGGGAAGGTTACTTTTCATGGTACTACTTCTTCCTTCCAGATGCTCTCCTTCCTACATTTGATTCCTTTCTTGATTCTTTCTGGTACAGGGAAGTATATTTCCTTCTTATAGTCTGACCGTGGGAATTGTAACTGGGAATAAATATGATTTCAGTCCTCTGCTGTTTCATCTTCACATTCCTTACCATGTGCAGTTTTATAAATATTATTTGGAGGTCTTAAGGAGTGTAGCAAAGATGACAATATCTGCAAATGAGGTGCCTTAGGTACTCTTTATTGACCTGGATTCATTTTTCTGTTCATAGCCATTATTTCTGCTATTCAGTGCTTTTGTTCTATAATGTCTTGGCTACTGCCTCTCTTTTAAACCAAAGACATGCTCATTTTCATTCATTAACAATGGTGATACATATAGTCTATAAAAGAGTCTAACAATGTTTTGATATGATATTACATAATTAACTAGCATAGTGTGTTTTGTGGCCTTAGCTAAGACCATGCTTCAACTGGATCTTAACACTTCCATTATGAGACTGAAATCAAATCAAATATTGTTTTAAGAATTTAGGTGAGAAAAGAGGAATCCCAAGAATGATAGGATACCTGCGTTTTATCTTCTCTCTGAAATCTTCTTTCTCAATACTATTCAGCTGAGAGAGTGGTTCCTTCTTACCCACTAAGAAAAATCTTATATACCTCTCTGCTATCCGCAATAGCTGTGGCCAATGGTTTGAGGAACTCAGAATTTCTCTTGCATTTAGTTCACTAACTGTGAGTTGTCAGTGATCCATTATTAAAAATCTTACCTATATTAGGTGAATTATGGTCTGTAGATCCTTATCTGCTTTACACAAGTACAGACTGATGTTGCTGGTTGCTTTTGAATCTTGCATGTTACACCTTCTCATAAATAAATATCCCTGACAATCAACAGCAACTGCTTCTTTTTTGGTATTTTGCACTAATGTTGCTCTTTATCTGCCTTTTACTGTTAATGTAATTTAAGGAGTTTCTGGTTATGTTCTAACATCTTCTGGCTGGTCAAGCTGCAACCCAGAGTAAATCATTATTTAAAACAATGCTCTTGCATTCTCAATCACTGTCCAACATTGCTTAACATTTTTTTCTCTAAATATAATAATGCCTTTGCTTTCTTTCCACTGTTAAGAGCATTCTTTCTTGTTTTTTCTTAAAGCTATATTATTGTCTTGCAGAAGTTTAGTCTGTCATTGATATTCAACACATGGCTCTCTGAAACCTCTCCTTACTGCAGCTGGCAGAGATGAGGGGGAGGAGAGAGAAGGGAAAAAAAGCACATATCCCATCCCAATCACTGTAAGTAGAAGGGAGCAAAGAGAGAGACAAGAAACACCACCTCCATCCTTCCAGAGCACAAAAGTGAAACATGCTGGCCCATATCCTCAGTGCTATTACAATCTCTTTATACTGCTCTTATGGCAGAAGAGAGTTGTAAAGCCAGTTTAATTGGTTGCCTGGGGATTCCTCAAGCACAGGAGGGAAAATCTCCCTGGCTGATCTGGCACAGTTATTCTATGCTGCTTTCACCTTTCCTCAAAGCCTCCTAGGCAGGGGTCATGGATAGCGGTAGGATGGCAGAGCTGTTTTGCAGTGCCTCTCTGGATCTTCAGAGTTGAGCATCACCACTCTCTACCGCATTCAGGAGCTTCATTTCTGTAGGCTCCATGTGTTTTCTAGGTCCTTTTTCAAGTAATTTGCCTCTTTTTAGGTTGGATTCTCTCAGTTTTCTGAATTTGTTCCTTTTATGTGGATTGGTTCCTTCTACCCTATATCAAAACCTCCCTGATTACTTGATAAAAAATGGAAGCTGTACCTTACTCATTTATCTTGTTAAATGAGGCCTTACTCCATTTGCTTAAAGTATGCAGGTATTAGGTTAATGAAGCTGATTATCTGGTCTCAGAATCAGCTCTTTCAAATCTTCTAAGAGTTGTGGAGGATTGTACACAATTAGCTTTTTATTTTCTACTCACTACCCAAAAGAAATTAGTCAAACTGCTGCTGCCCCTATCTACGCACCTTCACTGATTTGTATGTGAAAGCCGGGTTACAAAGTGATAGGTGCGTAGGTATACTCCATCCTGACTACTGGACAAAGAGAGAGAGTTTCCAGCCAGAAGTGGAAAAAACTAGGACTTTTTTCAAATAACTATCATGAGGTGGAATAAACACCAGCCATCATCCTTGCAAAATCCATTGCAAGTTGCTTGCAGATGATATGCACATGAAAACTTACCAATTCTAAGCACCAACATGTAACTATGACTCTTATTTGAACAACTGCTTGAAAAAAATCTAATATCTACCTACTCACTTATTGGCACATGGTCTTCATTTTAAGGAAGGACAAATGGACCAGTGGTTACAAGACGGTTCTGGTTTCTACTCCTACCTTAGTCACTGGTTTGTTTTGTGGTCTTGGATAACTAACAATTTCTCTGTGCCTTGGTTTCCCCATGTATAAGATGGTCAGAGTGCTTGCCTTCCTCACAAGAGTTTCCTGAGGTTCAGCTAACCAAGAAAAGACAGTACATTTCCACTTCTGTAGTTCTGATAAACACCTACAACCATGAGTATGCAAAACAAGCAAGCAACCATTATGCATATCGAAGTATACCACACTAAGCATAGTGTCTGTTGGACAGTGTACTGTGGCCATTCTGCACTGCTCTGCTTATGGATTCTGGCTGTGTCTTGCCATGGGGGGATCACTCCCAGGCACATCAATCTACTAGTGCCATAGATGCTGGTGTAGGTCATTTGCCAGCATCTCTCTCCAAACATATAGATCATAGCTGGGATGCCCATGCACTGCACGGATCCAAAGCTGTGGTTGTTGCCCCTGAGGGCTGTTAGCAGTGTAAGGCTGCTCTGAGTTACTGAGTGTCTGACTACACTCAGAAGCCCTAGGCTTTGGAGAGAGCATGCCCTATTATGTCCCAGTTTGTGCTGTGTGACTTTTTACTGTAGCTGAGGATCTAGATCTAAACAGGAATACAAATTTCTTGCTAGTCACTAGCAAACACTGCTACTCTAGCTTGTGTTAGGTTTATTAGGGAAGCATTCAAGCATCCAGATTTTGGGCCAGGGTCATGGGTGCCCTTTAACTCCCATTGTCTTCAAAGAGAGTAGGTGGCACAGTCTTTGCTAGAGAGTGCCTACAATGTTGCAGGATCAGACTTATGTAAAAAGTTCTACAGAACTAGGCATCTAGATAACAACATCAGGACTCTTAATTGCATGACTGTTCTGTCCTTTGTTATGAACATGCCATTTGCACCACAGGCATTGGGAATTACATACAGCTTATGGGCAGATTTTGGCCTTTATTATATGTGGAGCTGGTGGTATAGTTGCTAAATTGCCTAATGTAGTGTACATAAAGTAAGCAGCTGACTACTAAGGATTTAATTAAAAATGTGCATACAGTAGGTACACTGCTCTATGGTACTTGGTACTTACAATTTTAATAAACTGGGCCCATTCTTTTGACACTGTACAAGTGCACTTCTTTGATTCCTGAAATATCACGTTTCATTTTTATGCTTACAATTTCATACAATGTCTGTGGTATCAGTTAGGAAGCTACATAAGTAGGTTATGACTAAATAAGTTTCATTATGAAGCTACTATAAATAAATGTGCACAAGGATGTCTTTCCCCAGCACCTAACATGCCTTAAATGCTTGTATGTTGAACATGTCATGTTCTTTTTATTTCAATATATGCTTTTACATTAATCTATTTTGGTTGCATGCGTCTTCACTAAAATGCATCTGATTCACACGATGTGCAAGATTTGTGTGTTGATAAGCACGAGCAGAGGGGAAATAACTTGTTTTTGCTGGTTGCTGCTATTAAATACGTTTTAAGTCACAGAAATTTTAAGTGGCTCTGTGACTGTTTGGATCCCACTATTTTAAGCAAAAAATATGGTCATTAAATAAAAGCAATGTCAGCCCCATTGGAGAGAAAATCCCCATGGAGGTAGAAGAAATTCACACTGTATTCTGGAAATATATGTGCATTCTACCTTTCCCGTCTTTTTTGACTATTGTTACATCAGGTAGCAAATCCAGGAAAAGATATAGTAACAAAACTATGAGTTCAATAGCACTGTATTAAGAATTAAAGGTGTGTGTGAAGTAGAAATTGTGATCTGTGTTGCCTCAGGTGACTGATGCTTGCTTGAGTTAACTACCACGAATGTTCTCAAAATTCTCCATGCTTTTTTGTTCTAGGATAGAAATATTTGTAGGATGCCTACATTATTATTTAACATGACTGTAAATAAAGTTACAGGGCAATCAATTCCTTTGAGTTAAAACAGCAACACAAACTCTGCTCTCGATATACCCAAAAAGGTATACTGCATAAGCAGAAATAGTCTGAGGTTCCCCTCCCTCCTTTCTGCTACCAGTATCAGGTATTTCTGTAACAAAAGTAAGTGAAATATTGTTTCAGGGTTATTTTTTAGCTCCTAGGTGTGATAAACTAAACTTAGATAAAAACTATTTTGTGTAAAAACAACTGTGTATCAACTCAGTAACAGATATGATTATTTAAAAATTTGGTGTGGAAATAAGCAAGTAATAAAACCCAAATGGTCACTAGTCATTTCCAGAATCCAGTCTCCGCCAGTGAGGAACAGGATGAGGGCATTAATTGTATGGCACTTAGAACATGCTAATGGTGTTTTGTCTGCAGTCACACCACCCTGCGCTTCAATTTAGCTCACAAACTATGCAGTAAGAGGGTGAGTCAGTAAGCTTTCCAGCAACACAGATGCAGCAGGAAGTCTGGGTGGTAATTGAGTGCCATTGCTATTCCCTTTGAACCAGCACTAAATCAATAGTCTAGGATGGTGTTCGAGGGCACTGTACTCTTATAGGTATCATATTTCAGATCACATAGAAACCAGAGGTTCTAGCCATCTAACACACTTAAAAGGAGACAACCAACTTAAGGTACAGTCAAGCTGAGGAAAGCCAGGATTAGCGTTTAGCAGGGAATCTCTCTCTCCTGTTTTGTTTTTGTTTTATTATCACTTTTTCCTTTTCTAAAATGCTGCTGTTTCCCCATTGCTGTACAACAACCCACACAGAGGAGAAACTGATTGTAGCCAAGTGCTGTCAAAGTAAATAGCGAGAAAATACCAAAAAAAAATTCATCTTTGGGTTTTTCTGCAGAGGTGGGGGAGGAGGTGTATAAAAATTAGACACCAGTGAGATTATTAAATTGGCTGCATCTTTTTAAATATTCCTTAACATGTATTTTAAGTATAGGAGTGTTAACCCCCCTGCCCCACCCCCTCTGGTCTCACAAAATTGCAACTACAGTAATTATCTTTACATACTAAATTGTCTGTGACAACTGTCGACTCTATCCATCCCTGCTTGGCTGTATAGAGTTGCTCTTTGTTTATGGCTGCTATACATCACCTCAAAGGTGAACATCTTTCCATAGTAGATAAAAAGGTGTTTCCCCTGCTTATTGCAGGAGGGCTTTGTGAGACTATCAGTAATTATCTAGTGTTTGTAAAGCTCCTTGAAATTATGTGTGCGTTCTAAAACTCTCAACAAGTTAAAAAAAGGAATTATTTCCTATGCCTTCATTAGCACTATTGCCACACTCCTATCTTGTATTGCAGCTAGAAACAACTAGATTTTGCATATATAGTTCTTTGTATCTTTCCAAAACCAAGGGTAGTTTTATTCAAAATACTAAACTAAAACTCATGGAAACCCCTGCGCTATCTAACCCTTAATTTAAGTTTAAAAAAAATAAGTCATGACATCTATGCCACACATTTATTTTACTATTTTGACAACCCTGTGAATACTGAAAAGATTAATCTTGAGAGGCACATCAGATATTTTAGAAATTACAAAACAAAAGTTACAGAATAAAAGCCTGATCTGCCGCCTTTATGGAGGGAGAGTTTCCACTGACATATACAAGAGTTTTACCTGAGATAAACAGCTGGATTGAGCTCTATACCTACCAAACATTGTGGATCTATCACTGAAACTTGCTGTTTCATGGTTCAAGATGCTTTTAATTAAAAATAATAAATAATAAACTTAAAGAGTTTGGTTAAATTTCATATTTCTTATTAACCTAGATTAAATGCTTTTCCATTAGACTTGTATGGATATCTATCTTGATTTGTCAAAGCATAATCTAGGTCTCTAGAATTAGTACTTTGTATAATACTCATTTTTCACTTCCAGTTTGAATTACTGTTCAGACAATTAAAGACTATTGACACTTTATTTTTAAAAACATATTATGTTCCTATCAGTGAAATTGATGACTAATTGCCTAAAATGAAATGTATGCTTTTAAAAATGCATTTTCATGTATTTTTTCAAATATAGACAGGCCCAATAGTCTGCACATCCCCTTGTATGCAATACTTTTTCAAAATTTAAATCTGAAAAAATAAAATAAATGGAGATTTTCTGAGACATTTGTATTTATTGATCTTTGTTTTGCTGTCTAGGTGACACATCTTTGTCTATGAATAAGGATTAAGTGTGGCAGTCTGGTTTTAGCTACTAACAAAAATCTAGACTTTGGGGGGCATTCAAATATAAGACTAGAAACTGTAAAAATGACTAGTATTTAAAAAGAAAATTAATTATTGTAAAACATACCAGTTTGCTAGTACAGCACATGGAAACGCAGGCCACTAAGCAGGTGGGACATAAGTGGCAGAACTATAAACTTCCACAATCCCCTTCTGGTTAATATTACCAATCCTGATCTAAAGAGACCACCCTCTGGCCATTCATACCTTAAGCTTTCTATTTAGATTGCTGATGGAGATGCCAATGTTGATGTGGACAATTCACTGGCGAATGGACTCTGACCAACAAATTACTTAACCTATAAATTACTTTTTTAAATATGACTTTAAAACAACAATCTATCTCCCTCTCCCAGGAAATGGCAATTTAGTGATTGCAGGAACACACTATATGCACGTGCTAGAAAAAAAACACCCTCTAAGGGACAGTACTCTCCTGAACTGAGTATGCTAAGATCTCATTCACACAATCCTGATAAAAAGAGATGGGAAAAGACTGAATACTACCTATTCACACTGGCTAATCCGAGTTGGTGCCCTTTTGAAGGAAAAAAAAATGATGGATGGTGACTTCATGGAAGTGCATCTAGAAATTAAGTATTCTGGCTCCCAAATCCAGACAATCAGCATGGGGACCCTGAACTTGCTAAAGTAGTTGTTAAATCCTGAGCAAATGGAAACAAACCTCTATTAATTATACAATGTTTATTTTAGTATATACATCAGCTTTTAGCTTCACTAGCATAACTAAAGAAACACCCCAGTACTTATCTTTCTAAGCCCAAGTTAGTATATTTATGTATTTGAGCTTTAAAAGTTAGAGCTGACATGAGGTTGTATTGCCTTATCCCAGGACTGCAACAGAATCATAGGTCAGCAGTTAAAATCAGCTAATTCCATGACATGATGATTCTTCCCAACTAAGGCTGAACACTTTAATTATTGAAGTACAGTTTAGCTCAATATATAGAAAGGATGGTCAGAACCCCAAATACAGACAACTCCCTCAGCACCCACAGGTGCACCCTGTCCAGCCCCATGGACTTGTACATGTCCAGCTTTCCTAACAGTCCCTAGCCTGTTCTTTCACCACCGTTGACTGCTCACTTCCTCCCCAAACTGTGCTGCCTGGTGCAGTAACCTGGGAGCTGGCCTTGCCTGCGAAGACTGAGGCAAAGGTGGCATTAAGCACTACAGCTTTTTCTGCATCCTCTATCACAAGGCTGCCTCCCCCATTTAGTAAGCAACCCACACTTTCCCTGACCCTCTTCTTGCTACTGACATACTTGTGGAAACTCTTCATGTCCCTTGCTAGTTGCAACTCCAATTGCACTTTGGCTTTCCTGACTTCATCCCTGCATGCCCGAGCAATGCTCTTATACTCCTCCCTATGTATTTGTCCAAGTTTCCACTTCTTATAAGCTTCCTTTTTGTGACTTAGTTTACTGAAGAGTTCCCTGCTAAGCCAAGCTGGTCTTCTGCCATACTTGCTAGTCTTCCTGCATGTCAGGATGGTTTGGTTTCTGCACTCTCAGTAAAGCTTCTTTAAAGTACACCCAGCTGTCTGGGACTCTTCTCTTCCTCAGACTGGCTTCCCTGAGGATCCTGCCCATGAGTTCCTTAAGTGAGTCGAAGTCTGCTTTTCTGAAGTCCAGGGTCCTTACTCTGCTTCTTTCCATCCTTCTTTTCCTCAGGATCCTGAACTCAATCATCTTGTGGTCATTGCTGCCCAAGTTGCCATCCATTACTACATTCCCCACCAATTCTTCCCTGTTTATGACCAGCAGGTCAAGATGATCGCAGCAGTTCCAGCATCTGCACCAGGAAGTTGTCCCCAACACTCTCCAAAAACTTCCTGGATTGCCTGTGCACTGCCGTATTGCCCTCCCAACAGATGTCAGGCTGATTCAAGTCCACCCATGAGAACCAGGGCCTGTGATCGGGAAACTTCCACTAGCTGTTTAAAGAAAGCCTCATCGACCACTTCTTCCTGGTCTGGTGGTCTACAGTAGACACCTACCACAACATCACCCTTTAATGCTCTCCCCTCTAACCTTAACCCAAGACTTTCAATAGGCTTATCTCCAGTTTCATACTGGAGCTCTGAGCAATCATATGGCTCTTTTACATAAAGTGCAACTCCTCCTCCTCTTCTTCCTTGCCTTTTCTTCCTGAACAGAGAAGAGGCAGAGGAAGGATTTAAACCCAGGCTTTCCACATCCAGGGTGAGTGCACTAAACACTGAACTACTGGATAAACAGAGGTCTCCTCCTCTGGCCATGTTTTAGAAGAAAAGAGAAGCTCTAGTTCTATTTTTAAGAAGGATGGAGGCACCTTCCCTTCAGGGCAAGGTTCTAGGTTGTGAATCCCAAATGGAGAAGGTGCACTCTCTTGTAATGCCAAAGAAGACATGCAAGCCCTGGCAAAAAGGTAGGTTTTATGACACTCCGATCCTCAACATGTCTCCTCTCTCAAAATACTCATTGTTCTGATCCCGTTCTGAGGCACCTACACCAACGGTGCTCAACCTTTTGGCCCCGCAGGCTGAGTGGCACGGGACTGGTCTACAAGTCAGATGGGACACTGCTCCAGTACAAGGCTTGCACACCCAGATCCAGACGAAGCTCCCCCTGCCCAGCCCTGCATGCCAGGATTTGGGCTCTGGGACCCTGCGCTACCTCTGCCTGGCCTCATGTGCAGGGATCAGGCTCCAGGGCTTGTGCCACCTCTGCCAGGCTCTGTGCACTGGGATCAGGCCCTGTACCACCTCCACCCAGCCTTGCATGTTGGGAACAGGCTCCGGGGCCCTGCACCACCTCCATCAGGCCCTGTGTGCCCAGACTGAGCCTTGCACTGCCCTGTGTGCCAGATCTAGTGCTTGGGACCATGATCTGTGGGGCCCCTCAAAGGCCAAATGACAAGGCACTAGAGGCTGGATGTTGCCCCTGAGCCAAGGGTTGACTACACCTGACCTACACAGTATAAAGAGCTCAGGCGCTTCATTCAGCCCTGCAGACTATGGCACTGCAGTACTACTGAACACTCCTTTTGTATCTAGGTATTCATTTTTCAAGATGGCTAGTTTATGTCTGTGTTGGTGTAAAGGGGGAATGGAAGGCTCTCTCTTTCGCTAGAGTTGGGATCTATTTATTTAACTTAACTTCAACCTACTTGTGACCTTTCTCTTACAGCACAAGTTCCTTAATGACTGTATCATTCTGTTCTATCATTTCCCTCCCTCAGGGGTGGAGCTATTTTGTGCTTGCCTGCTAGACACTCCCACTTTCCTCATTTTAACTCTACCCCGAGCCTCACATTTTCTTCTTTCAAGCTCATGAGTGGGCTGCTTTTAGAAACAGTTAATGCTATTGCCTAATACTGTGCAGATTTGGGCATGTTGTGCAGCAAGCCTTCAAGGCCCTGCCAGTCTCAGAAACGAGATCAGAAACAAACTATATCTTCTGCGGGGTAATTAAGAACATTACTATTTATAGCAGTCTTCATTAAAAAGTCAGC